AGAATGTTCTAAAATTTCATTATATATATATCTGTATTGAAATAGTCGTTTATGTTTAGATCTTGCGTACATTCCTGAAAAAGCTGTAAAGCGAAGCATTGGGTAAGAAAAACAACTATTCTATGTAGTAATAACTTTGCTATTATTCACTTACATAAAGCTTACTTAGAGATTTTAGAGATGACCATTAAGTGATTTTTTTCGACGTCCCTTTGTTGTATAATACATGTTTAGAGACTGTTTATATGTTTGTTTAGAACTTTCTTGCATGGCGATTTGTTTTAAGTTATTTTTCTGGACGGTTGTTATTTTGTAAATATTGTTTGCTCTGCGACGCCTGTTACATGGCTAAAAGTGCTAATTGTTCTATTATACACTTTGTTTCCTCGTTAAGTTAAACTGAAGTAACTCCGTTTTCTCAGTTGCCTCTTTTGACTTTAAGACTTCATCAATGTAAATTGTTTAGGAAATATATTTGAAGTTTATCATAAACCACGATAGTGGTTCATAATAGGGGCGCCCAGGAATATCTACAAAAATTCTAATAGAACATACGGGCAAAAACCTTATTTTTTTACAAAAAAAAAGAAAACAAGACCTTCTATATCAATGGCTAAAGCTGCTGAAAAATTGATAATAACAAAAAAGTTGATTGTCCGATTGTTAGACGAAATTCATTGATTTTTTTCTTCTTATTCTTGTTTCACAAGTCTACAGAGAAAAAAACGGCTATCAATATTTTACTTAAACCTTGGCAAACCTACTAAAGAACTAATGCGCAGGTTATAGGACTATTTTTATGTTGATTCTTAAAAGAGGATGAGAGATTTTCAGGTTTGCCATCGCTACAGGCCAAGTTTCTCTTTGAAGCCATTCAAGCACTGAAGCCTACAGCAAAAACGGCCAAGTATACTGCGAAAAAATCTATGCCCAGCTACTAAACGAACTCCTGTGACGGTTGTAGGGCTGTTTTTAAGTTGATTCTTGAAAGTCGAGATTTCCACCGTCTAAAATGTTCTAAGTTCTTCTTCGCTACCAACATAAGCTCTTTGAAGCCATTAAAGCATCACAGAAATATAGAAGCCATTTAAGTATCGTTATACTAGTCAGAAACATTTCATTTTAATAGAGTAAACAATGTATATATTTGTAACAGTGTCTCCAGTCTTATTATCATTGATTATAGTTTTATAAGCCGCTACAGAAGAAAAAAAAACGGCTGGAATATTTTACTGCAGCCTGGACAAAGTAATAAAGGTAGTATTGGGTATGTAATAGGGTAGTTTTAAAATTAATTCAAGCACCTTCATTTTTTCGCCGTGAAGAATTTCCCTAAGTCCTTAACTTTTCACCATTGAAAAAAATATAGTGTTTTACTAATGCGCATTAATTATAAAATAATTTTTGCAACTTATAGCACATTAATTGGAAACTGCCACGTTGAGGATTCATCATAGCTATTTCAGTGTGTTTTCTAACAGTAGACGATCACCATAATATATTTCTCTACCCTTGTGAGTGGTGATTTATTCTACTGATTATCGTACTTCACTGAAATTGTGAGTGTTTATATCAGTATTATTTTATTATCGTTATTCAGATTTTCGTTTCACAAGCATACAGTAAAATCGGCTGGGTATCTTGCATCCAAATCTAGACATTTATACTACATGAAATGCTGCAAATGTCTATGACTTTTAAAAGTTTTCATTGAAAGTTGATTTACGTGACTATATAAACATAATATATGCGATGTTGTTGTGAGCGGCTTACTTTGTAATAGACGCTTGTTAAACGCATGTTTACACGAAACATCCAGCACAAAACCGCCTGGCTCAGTAAATAACGGTTGAGGGCAAACAAAAAAGCCAATATAGCAGTAAACTGTTGAAAAACATGCAACATTCAACTGAATGCATATGCACGTATGCAGCTGAAAATTATTTTCAATAAATGGGCATAAAAAAACTTAATAAACAAGATACTTAATGGTTGTTAATTTAAATGAGGAATAGGGATCGTCCAAACAATACAGAAACAAGTTGATTATATTTTCCAGCTCACAACTAGGGACTCTAAAAAGTAAACAAACTACGCTGGAAATAGTGTCTACATTATTTTCTCAAGCTACAAGTCCCTACTTTGACTCCATGTCTACAGTACTTATAAATGTTAGGGGAGTCAAAATAGGGATTTGTAACTTGAGAAAATAATGTAGACACTATTTCCAGCCTAGTTTGTTTACTTTTTAGTAGTCCTACGTTGTTAGCTGCTGTTACGGGCCGAAGGACGGAGTGTACGGGTACGAGCAGAGGTAGAATGAGGATGTTAAACTAAGTTGGTTA